GTGCTGAGAACCTCCTAGACTTAGGGGAAGATTGATGCCAATACACACGGAGATCTCCAAGGAACTCTGGGCCTACAGATGTTGAAAGGAGATAAGGACCTTCCCCCAGAGCTGACAGAGAAGGGCTTCCCCTAGAGCTACTGCCCTGAATTTGGACATCTAGCCTCCAAAACTGTGAGAGAATAAATTTCTATTTGCTAAAGCCATCCACTGGTGGTTATAGCAGTACTAGATAACTAAGACACTATTAGAAAGCGATGTATTCATTGCTAGAGGTGTTCCCACCTCAGAAATGCATTTAAGCTTTCTGCTGTTTACTTGGCTCTCTCCAAATGCCGCAGGAAGGGAATTTTACAAGGTACTTGAGGAATCAGTGGCTTGGAAATTCTGCACAACAGCATTACTTAAAATATGATGGGGGTTTTTATAATTCTACCCTCAGGGCCCTTGCTGTGTAGAATCTCCTTAAAGGAGAAATAGGCCTTTAGCAGGGCCTTTGGTGCTTTAGTAATTAAAGCTCCTTGAGTTGGGGCCAAGATACACCTGGGTTATTTTGAATTCCCCTCAGTAGGAAGAGAGTTTTAAAGAGTTTACAGTGTGTGTATGGTGTTTCTAGTTCTATTTAAATCTGGGAGGCAGGTGTTTTGAGAGAGAGAGCCCTTTCACTCAAGTAGGATAAATACTAATTGGTAGTTCATGTCCCTGGTGATTGAGTGGAAAGTCTTGATGGGAAGGTTTCAGGGGACCCTCCATTTAGCCCCTGTGTCTTTATAGTGAGCAGGCACTGCCATGGCTGCCCTCTGAATCTCCCTTGTTAATAGAACTTGCCAAATAGAGAAAGAGTGTTCCTAGTGGTCGCTTACGCTCTGGTACTCACTTCAGCTAAGTCAATGAACATTTATAGAGCTCAATGAAAAATTGACTTTGTATATCTGTTTGCTTTAGAAAAGTTAAGAGTAGATTTAAAAACAAAAAAACAAACTCTTTGCCGTCGAGTCGATTCCGACTCATAGAGACCACATAGGACAGGGTAGAACTGCCCCATAGGGTTTCCAAGGAGCGCCTGGTGGATTTGAACTGCCAGCCTTTTGGTTAGCAGCTGAACACTTAACCGCTGTGCCACCAGGGCTCCTTAGAATGGATAGGAACAAGTAATATAATTTCATTAAGAAAATAAAATTGCTGTTTTCTTTTGTTCCTGTCTTGTGCACTTAAACACATATTTATATTTACTAAAGGCTAAGGGAGGCCTTTGTGACGTTGCTTTCATGCCTGGAACAACTGTAAACCTTGAAGCAGCTCCTAGGCTTCCCCTTCCACCCTACCTAATATAAGTTTCTTAAAATAAAAAAAATCTGTCCTTTAGTAGGAAGAAACACAGTGTCAAATCTCCAAATGCTCGAAGATCATTCTGGATGTACATGGGCTAGATGTTGATAATATGGAAAGAAAGGAACACTTTAGTTGGAGCTGACTTTAGGAGCTGCATTGTTTTGAATGGAGCTGAGTTTAAGCGGTGCATTATTTTGGGGGTAATAACTAACACAGATGGATAATGGTATAGTGTTATTAGAAGGAAAAAAACTTGAAAAGAAGATTGTGATCATTAACTACAGATGTTGCAATTCCTGGGATCACCAGTGGGGGTAGCAAACAGAATATGTTTTGACCACAAAATAAGAAAGCACGTTAAGAAAGTAGGACCAACGGAGCACCTCATTAGCCCAAGCAATAGGATACTTCCTAGGTATACATGTGGATGCATGTGAAACTGCTAGGTGTACCCCAACACTGTCACTCTTAAAAGCATAAACTATGAGAACAACTAAATGAAACCATAACGTAGTAGGAAGTCATAGCATATTCAGTTCTTAATGCATGCAAAATAGCAGCGCTAGAGGTGTCATAGAAGGTGTCCCAGGATACAGACTCTAGACTTGGGAAAGGCAAAGTCAGATCTCTTTCAAACTATGCCAGCCTTAGAAGTCTGTTCCAGCCAATTGTACGTTACTGGTTTGTGTAACTGGTTTGTGTAGCTGGGGAAGGACAGCCAGTGCAGTGTTTGGTGGACTGAGTCATCAGTGGCGTGAGGCACTGCCAATAACTAGAGGCCAGTGGACCCTGAAGCCAGTGAAATGTTACGGTCAAGGCCTTTTACTGGCCCAGGTCCCTTCTAAGGCTGCAGGGAGGACCTAGCAATGGCCTCACATGGTCATGTGTTTTTGTAAAATTTGCACAAGCAAGGTATTTTAACTGCAGAGAACACATAGCTATAACATGTGAATGAAATATTATAGAAGTTGCCAGGTACTTAATTACTGAAAACAGTATGCTATTGTTTTGAAGTTTGTGGTGTGTGTGGTATTTGTCATCTTTTTTAAAATGTGTAATCTGTCACCATTTATTTTCTCATTCTAAATAAAGTTTATGCCTAGTTTTGTATTTGTTGTTGTATTCTTTTAAAAATGCTACGAACTTTAGGTTCCACAAAGCCTGGATGGGCCCTGACCAGTATGCTACCTCTGCTAAATTAAAAGACACGGACAGGGTCTTTAGGAGGAGGTACAGGGCAGAGGTCTTAGGATATGGGCCTCTCTTGGCCAGTGCTCACCAAAGAGGCATAAGGGCTTGATAAGAAAGTGTGGATGACTAAGAGCAAGTATTTTCAGGAAGGGAGTTCTAAATAGAGCTGGTGAAAAACAAAAAAAAACAATATCTAACCTTAGTTAGATAATGTATGTGAAAGCCGGACAATGAAAAAGGAAGACAAAGAATTGATGCCTTTGAACTGTGGTGCTGGCGAAGAATACTGAATGTACTGTGGACTGCCAAGAGAACAGACAAATCCGCCTTAGAAGAAATACAACCAGAATGCTCCTTAGATGCGAGTATGGCGATACTTTGGCTCCCTTACTTTGGAGACATCATCAGGAAAGACCAATTGCTAGACAAGGACATCATGCTTGGTAAAGTAGAGGGTCAGCAGAAATGAGGGAAACCCTCAATGAAATGGATGGGCACAATAGCCACGACAATGGGCTCGATCATACCAATGATCATGCAGATGACACAGGGCTGGGCAATGTTTTGTTCTGTTATACATAAGAGGACTTGACGACAACAAATCATAGTATCCCTTGAACAGTCTTGGTTGGCCAGTGGCTTTGGTCTATTTGGCCCATATGGCTGGTCAGTATCTTTCCTGGCAGGTACAAGTGAGTCATTTACCCTGGGGTTTAAGGTTAAGAACAAGTTGAACGTTGTTGAATGTGCTGATTGTGACTCACATGGCAGAGGCCGGGGTGTTACCAAAATACCTTTTTGTCCCCGTGGGCTCCCTTTTTTATTCAACTCACGGACCATGGTGTTATACAGAATATACATGTTTGTAAGACGAAAGAGTGTAAGAAAAAGTCCGTCCATCTTGCATGGTGTATTTTGCATGGGTAGAGCTTGCATAGCCTCATTTTAACTTTTAACTTTGCCTGTTAACTGTGAGTTTGTTCAAATATATTTTTTTTTAAAAACTGCTGGAAGAAATTATGGCCTATGGTATGTTAGCAGACTAGGTACCATCATCTGATGAGGAGGAGGATAAAACATAATTTGTATACTTTGTAAGAAATCTTTTTCAAAACTTATGACAGAAATTCTTAATTATGGTTTGTTTATCCTTTAGATCTTGACAGTAAGTGTAATAAAATGTTGCATAATATATGTAAGATTACATATGTTATCAAAGTACAGTTCGCACTTCTCTAATGCATGGGCCTGGATGTGGTCCTCATGATCATTTTAGCAGTTGCATTTATTTTAAGTCAGTGGTGCTCTCTTGGCAGTTGTTACTTTAGCATCCCCCTAATCAGACATTCATTTAATAACCAACCTAACTTTTTCTCAGTTGAAAGTTATTTTGTTCCAGCCATTTGTATGTATGTATATATAAATTATACCTACCTACCTTTCTTTTCTTTTTTTTTTATTGTACTCCAGGTGAAGGCCTACAGAACAAATAGTCTCCCCTGAAACAGTAGCACACACACTGTTCCACGACATTGGCCAACAACCCCACAACATGTCAACCCTCTAACCTCTTTTTTTTTTTTTTTGGTGAAAATAGACATAGCCAAAGATACACCATTTCAAAAATTTCTACATGCACACTTCAGTGACATCGACTACGCTCCTCCGGTGATGCTGCCATTCTCACTTTAGATGAAGGCTTACAGAACAAAATAGTTTCTCATTTAACAATTAGTACACATGTTGCCCTATGACAATGGTTAACAACCTCACAACACATCAACACTATCCTTACTCAACCTTGGGTTCCCTATCACCAGCTTTCCTGTCCCCTTCTGCCTTCTGGCCCTTGTCGCTGGGCTGCTGTGCCTCATTAGTCCCATTTGGTTTTATGGGGCTGTCCACTCCCCAGCTGAACGGTGAACCTCGGAAATGACTTCACCACTGAGCTAAAAGGGTGTCTAGGGGCCATACTCTTGGGGTTTCTCCAGTCTCCTTTAGGCTAGTAAATCTGGTCTTTTTTTTGTGAGTTAGAATTTTGTTCTACATCCTTCTCCAGCTCTGTCCAGCATCCTCTGTTGTGATCCTGGTCAGAGCAGTCAGTGGTGGTAGCCGGGCACCATCTAGCTGTACTGGACTCAGTCTGGTGGAGGCCTCGGTAGCTGTGGTCCATTAGTCCTTTGGACTAATCTTTTCCTTGTATCCTGTTCTCTTCATTCCCCCTTGCTCCCGAAGGAAGGAGATCAGTGGAGTATCTTAGATGGCTGCTTACAGGCTTTTAAGACCCCAGACGCTACTCACCAACCTACCTACCTTTCTTGATTAGAATGCAAACATATATGTTCATATATATTTTTGAAAACCTCTTTTCCGTAATGGCAAAAAAAAAAAAAGAATGAGTGAATGATAAAGATTTCACAGTCTGCTAACAGATATGTTTTAAGGAAAAATTGTTCTAATGTATTGTTCTCTTTCAGACAATGGAAGAATACATGAGCAAGCCTGCATTTTAACTTTGCATCTGCTTGAAGACTCAGAGTGCTACATGTTGTAAACCTGTAAATAAACAATGTCTTGCATTGAACTAATTTGACAGTGCCTCTGGCACCATGCCAAAAATAACTTAAAGGGATTGTTTGTTAACTAGCAAAACTTAAGTTGTTTAACATATTTATAATTATTATATGTCTGTATTATAGTGTATATGAACACTTATTGCAGCTCGGGTTATTGAAATAACTGCTGCAAAGCTCAATAGACTGGATACTTGTTTGCAGTGATTTTAACTCAATGTGATATTTTTAAGCTAATTTTGATAAATTAGTTGCAATATATTTTTGTGGGCTTTGATCCTCTCCTGAAAGGTTGAAACCTATGCTGTAATGATCCATGATTTTGGATGTAAAGTATATTTTGTATCAATAATACCTTTTATGTTTCACTTTTTTTATTTTATGGATAATTCAAAATTATCTTAATAGTTCACCATTCTTACATAATGCTAGATATTTTTAATACACTGAATAATACTGTGATTTCAGTCCAGATACAAAATATCTGGTTTTGATGTCATGAATTCTTTTTTTTTTTTTCAGGATTGGACTTATGGAAAATAACCAAAGATAGTATAGGATTTAGTAAGTGTTTTTGATGCCTTAGAAGCTGCTATCTAGGCTGAGATTTTTAATTTACCTTTTAATTTAATAAAGGGATATTCCAGTCAGGTGGTGTTTTCCACGCATAAAGTTTCGAGAGATCTGGAGATAGTGTCTATGACTCTTCTTGTTATAAAAATAGTAGAATAAGAAGTAATAACAGTAGTGATTATTATTATTACTAGTACTACTTAAAAAAACTCATGTTCCATGTCCTCTTAGTTTTTTGACAGGTTTTGCTTCAGATGTTTTAATGTATGTCTAACATATTTGAAGCCTTATTAATAGTTTATAAGGCTTACTTAGAGCATTTAATATTAGTGCAGCCTGTATGGTAGATACCTTTCCTGTCTTTTTCTTTCCCCAACCTCCAAAGAAGATATTTGCTGCTGACCATTATTACTGTGAATATGTTGCATCCGTGCCTCCTGGAATGAGAGTTCTCCATACCAGCTAGTAAACGGGATCAGACCTATATGGGAAAATAGCTCATAGTAGTCCATCTTGGCATCCTATTTTTTGTGTCTTGTGCGTTTTCAACATTAGTCTTGAGGTTTTGGTGTCATTCATATTGGAGTAGTCAGGAACCCTCTAGCTTTTTTCCTAAGGGAAGTGTGCTTGCTGTTGGATTCTATAGGAGACCCCATATGGGAGATCTTTAGAGAACATAATGGGAAAATGCCCTCTTTGGTTCATACTGGCAGACATAACCCATAAAAAACAAAAACAAAAAACCTGTTGCCATTGAGTTGATTCCAACTCATAGCGACCCTATACGACAGAGTAGAACTGCCGTATAGTGTTTCCAAGGAGCGTCTAGTCGATTTGAACTGCCAACCCCAAACTTTTGATTAGCAGCTGAGCTCTTAACCGCATATGCAAGGAAAATTGGGAGAACTAGAGCAGAGGGGAAATTGATCAATTCCTCAATATGACCATTATTACAAGGAAATAATTCATTAGTATTTAAAGTAATTGTTAGGCTGTTGGCATCTAATATTTTCTGAAATTGATATAATTATGACATCAGGTTGAAGTTTTACTATCATTTTTGGTTACTTTGTTTACTTTAGGTCCTCAGTTTTGTAGTTCAACTTTTTTTTTTTTTAATATGCTGGAACTCTATTTTAAAAAAACGACTTTGAAAGGATAGACTTTATGTAAATCCATCAGAGCTTTTCTGGTTCTTTTGGAGTTTGCCACCATTGTTGGGTGAAGGTATTTACTGAACCTCATTCAAATGTACTACACATATTCTGGATAAATAATTCCATGTTAGACACCGTCTAGATATACACAGGCTTCTCAGACTTCATGTCATGCCACACATAGAAAATGAGCATCATCTGTATCACACACTGGGGTAAATTAAGGGGCTTTGGTGGCATTTTATATGGACGGTGAAAATAACAATATTTTCTTTATGTTATATAATTACAATAAACTACCAAGTAATAGGAAAAATATTCAATTTATATAAAACTTCCAAATAAAATATTTAAAAATTTTTTTAATCAGATATTTGAGTGTGCTTTCTTGAATATAATTTTTATATCAGGTGTTATGCTTGCAATTGCTACCCACAATTCCTGGTGAAGTCTTTTAATGTGATCTTTGTGCCTTCTTGGTACTTACCATGAAGCAGAAACTTCACAAGTATGTGACTGGGATAAAAGTATGTAGTATTATCTTTTTCTCTTACTGACTTCTTTCTCATCATTTGGTAATATGATTTCTTAACATTTGTAGTTCACAGTGTAATCATTCTTGAAATCTAGTAGCTCTTCCTTTTCTTTCATTAAAAAAACCAAACCCAATGCCGTCAAGTAGATTCTGACTCATAGTGACCCTGTAGGACAGAGTAGAACTGCCACATAGGGTTTCCAAGGCTGTAAATCTTTACAGAAGCAGACTGCCACATCTTTCTCCTGCAGAGCGGCTGGTGGGTTTGAACTGATGACCTTTCGGTTAGCAGCTGATTCCTTTAACCAGTGCTCCACCAGGGCTCCTTTTCTTTCATTAGCAAATGTAAAGTCGACATTCCTTGTGATAAAGCAAATGATTTTTAGCCCATTCAAACTTTTTTTCATATCAAATATCCTAAAATAATGAGAAAGCTTTCCGTCAAGCATACATAGATGTTGGTCTTCTAAACTTAATAATCTTTTAGGATTTAAATTATAATACCTGTTACACATTACTGATGAGATGTTTTTAATTTTACTTTTCTAAGGTTTAATTGATAAATTTTACTGGCAAAATGTTCATTTTTTTTCACATGGTCTCTGCAATTTTTGATTAAGTTCATTTAGATGCTCCAGAATGTGAGTAAAGCAAGCCAATGACTATTTTTCAACAGTTTGCAGAGAGAAAGTTACTAATTTTTTTTCAGTTCCAGTCTTAGCCCTTGACAAACTCTTGACAAAATTCTGCCCATAGACAGTACACTTTGGTGTAAAACAGTGATACTCAGATCGTCTTTTGTCACATAAAGCTAAAAACAGAAAGGACCGTCACAGCTAGGATTTTATTAGAATCACCTTTTGATAACATCATTTAATGTGGAATTCAGACCTACAGACCAACTTTTATTTTTGTTGAGTTCTTTGTAAATAAACTCTCATATTAACTGAATTTCAAGGTCTTCAAACAAAATTTAGAAACTCTTTCGCATCTGTGCCATCAGTACATAATTTATGAAGTGTCTGTCATAACCATTTGTTTCAGGGTGTCCGTTTTCTATTTTGTTACTAGTTTATTTTGCTGTTTTACAGAATAAATAATGTAAGCATTTCTCTTCAAGGTTCAACAGGGCACAGTTACAAGCAAGGGTAGATTACTGTCTTAGGCTAGATTCTCTAAAGAAGCAAAATCAGTGAAGTGTGTGTATATATATATAGAGAGAGGGAGAGAGAGAGACAGAGCCGAACAAAAGCCAGCGAGCTTTGCTAGAAAGTCCATATATGTTGGATGCAGGCCACACCACCAAGGAAACTCGTTTTCAACTGATTGGTTGCTCATAGCAGATTTCATCATGGAGGTGATCACATTATATCAGATCTCATCATGGAGGTGATTTCATCATTACATAACTGCCAAACCACTGAGAATCATGGCCCAGCCAAATTGACACACAACCTTGACTATCACAGTTAGCTAATCTAAAATGATACACGTATGATTTCATCATCTTCTGGATTAAGGTTGTCTTCAAGTCGTTTGATATGTCCTCATACGTCTACTAATAGTATTATTCAAAAGTGGCACCTTTCCTGTTTCCTTTGAAAAATGTTGGGAATTTCCATGCAGGCTGGTAAAATGAGCAATTCTGCAATTGTGTGAGGTGTGTGGGATTTTGCTTTGCTAGTATGATCTCATAACTAGCTTTATGAGCTATACCTTATTGTAATTTATACGATAACTTTCTGATTTTGTTGAAAATGTTTATGGTTAAAATGATAATCTTGTGTGTAAGTATACTTTTAGTAGACTGATGCCCGCATAATTTAATTGACACCGTTGCTTCACTTGGTAACATTTTGAATAAGACATTTAGGCTAGAGAGGAAGAATGAGGAAACTTGGTTCCAAATCTGAGATAATCTTCTTACTGCTTCAAGACTTTTTTTTTTTTTACTATTTTAATTGTGTGTGTGGTGGGGGGGTTGGTCTGGTGAATCTGTGAAGCTTCCAGTTTTAATAACATTTTTCTATTATGGTGGAAAAATATCTGTAAAATTTAAGACTATATAAATGTAAATAAGAGACTGCTGAGTTTTGTGGTCAGAAAACTGATTTTCAAAAAATAATTTAGCTCATTTTCATTCCTTAGAATGCTACAAAAAGAAATTGAAACAATTTAAATACAGTAAAAATTAATATAAAATTTAAAATTAATAATGCAATTAAAATGGAAAGTACTGAAATCTTAATTTTCATTTAATGAAATAATTAAATTTCCAAAAAGGCCTTAAAATATAAATACTACTTTTACTTATGTAAGGTTAACTATATTTTGGAGAATCTGTATCCTTTAATGAATTGATTTAATTATGTTTTTTCTGTTTTTAGAAATAAGTATCTTTTTGTTTCTGGAAACATATATTTTTATTTGTTTGAAGGAGACTGATAGCATTACTGTTAATTATAAACCAGACAAAACCACGAACTCATAGCAACCCTACAGGACAGAGTAGAACTGTCCCATAGGGTTTCCAAGGAACAGCCAGTGAGTTGGAACTGCTGACCTTTTGATAGCAGCCGAAAACTTAACCACTGCGTCACAAGAGCTCCACTGCTAATTACACCGCTAATTAACTATGCTCACATCTTTAAAGGAAAGCAGATCAATGAAATGTGCACTCTGAAAATAATTTTTTAATGAAATTGTATCGAGTCAGACTTTGGCTAATTATAATATTAAAGGCCAAAGCCAAATCAATGGACAGATGAATAAATAATTACCAGTGTATTGCTGAGAAAAATGAATAAAATCAATTGTGTTCCACCTAGGAACACCTACTCCCAATATGATAATAGCAGTAGTTGTAAAGAAAACAACTGTACGTACTTTCTCTATTAGTTGAAAATTTTATTTAAAATATAAGATCACAGAGCAAACTAAGTTGGAAGAAAATCTGTATCTTTTACATGCACACAAAGAATCTCAGGGGTGATAAATCACAAAGTAAAAATTAGAACACCTGATTATTTTAGGAGGTGCTGCATATGTAGACACTTTTATTCAGTACCTTCCTGATCTTTGGCAATGTATTCTACGCTTAAAATCTGACCTTGAGCCAAAATATATAATTACACAATTTAGGAATTTTTCAGAGGCAACCATCCAAATACTATTCAAATATAATTTCAACTCTTGTGAACTTTTGAATTAATGGGAAATAATGGCTTCATTTTTGTTTTTTTAAAATTTCTATATAATTTACATCAGTCTCCTAGAGCAAACAAGTGAGCCCGTAACACTCTGGTTGGAATGTTCTAAGCCATAAGAATGAGTATCAAAATGGACTAGGAATTAGGGTTCTTGTGTTGGCCATAGCTTTGCCAAGTCCAAGTCCTGGCTCAGGAATTTCCTCTTTGGAATGGATGAAATGTCAGAGTCATATGGGATGAGACTGGAAGAACTGGAGGGTGCCCGGCTACCATTACTGAACATTTTGATCAAAGATTCTGTAGAAGAATCCTTATCAAAAGGAGTAAAATGCAGAACAGAATTTCAAATTCTCATGGAATCCAGACTTTCTAGAGCCAGGGAGGCTGGATGAACCCCTGAAACTATTGCCCTGAGATAATCTTTAAACCTTAAACCAAAAATAACCCCTGAAGTCTTCTTAAAACCAAACAATAGTTTAGCTTAACTAGTAAAAAATGCCTGCCTTAAGCATTATGCTCTTTTAAGAACTATCTATATGGGATCAAATTGACAACAACAACTTGAAAGATTAGATAGGAACCTTAGGGGCAGTGAGTTTATGTTAATAGAGGAGGAACAACTCAGAAAATGAGGGTGAGAATGTTGCACAATTTGAAGATGTAATCTGTCTCTAAATTGTTCATGTAGAAACTGTTGAATTGGTGTGTTTTGCTGTGTATATTCTCAACAACAACAACAAATAAAAACAAAAAAGTCATGTGGGAACTTGGAGGTGAGCTAGTCTAAACCACTCATACAGATGAGGAAAGAATAATCAGCATATTAACATTTATACTTTGATCAGGTCCCAGTGCTAATCATTTGTTTAATTGAACTTTGCCTTGATCAAAGGTATTACCCCATGAAAGCAGTCGATGAGCCTGTTTTCCTGGTATGAAATACAAGTCTAATGACATTCAAGCATGTTTTTCATTCTTTTAAATGATACAAGCAAAGTATATTGAGTGCATTTTAAATGAAGGATGCTGTTATAGGAGTAGAAAGAAGAGCTGCTTCTGGGAGGAGGACTGATGGTAAAAGATGAATCACCAAGTTTGGATTGTTGAATTCTGGAGGTGGAGAATACTTTCTTTGCCGGTGTTGAATAAAAGGGAGTAGTAATCTGAAGTAGACATTGAACTCTGACCATTTCCTGCATTTAGCTAAGGCATATACTTCTGAACCTTATTTGCACCTAACCATAAAATAACCCTTTTATAGCCACTGGCACGTATATGTTCCTGCTACATATTTCACCCCTGAAGATTAATTGGCAGGCATTTGAGCCACTTTTGTATGTTCTGGCATCATGGTGGATACGGTGCAACTACTTAAAAGAAGTTGGTCTGGGCCGCGTTTGAGTGTTGAGAGCCATTCATATGAGGGGATGCTTCCCGGAGGAGTGATTGTGTGAAAGTTTTGTGTCTTGACTTCTCTACAGCGAGATAAGGCTTGCCGGCATGTTTACTATTTCCTGGGAAAGTATGGTTACCAGCGTTCAGAAATATTCAAGTTAGTGAGTTATTTTGGGGGTAACTAATGCAAGTGGGCCATA